TACTCCTACTCTTCAAGATAGGCGATGCCAATGGGCGCATCTCCATCTCAGCTCTATGCCAACTCTTTGGACTTCCCAATGAGACAGCACATGACTTCAAGGAGAACTCAAAGAGGAAACAAGCTGCCTTTGCTGATTGGACACACTTTGCCAATGAACCATTCTTGCCTTCAAGTCAAAGGTGTCTAGAATCACTCATCCAGCCATTCGCTATGTGCACCGCCTCATCTCCACCACTTTCCAATGCAAACAAGAAGCCAACAAGGTCACAACTGATGAGTTCTACATCCTCACCACACCATTCATCAAGCATGAGTACAAGGCCAACCTTGGTCTTTTACTTGCCAAGACATTCATCAATGTGAGGAAGCTAGCTCAAGACTTGGAAGGCAACAAGAAGCTTTGTGTTCGTTTTGGGAGGCTTATCACGGCCATAGTACAACATGTGGGGATTGACATTCCCAACTATGAGCCACTACCCAAGCCAATCCCTTTGGATCTCCATGCCCTTCAGCAATCCACTTCCTAAACCGTTGGACTAAAACCCAACCAAGTTTTGCTATGAGTTTCCAATTGGTCCACCAACACTTCCCTTGTCTTGCTGCCACATGAAGACATCCCAAGCCTACGCTCAGGTGTTGTCACTTTCCAGCCCAAGGAGGAAGACTTCTATGTTCCATCAAGTGAGAAACCATCATTCCCCATCCTCACCTATCGCACACTTCAGCGCACAGTCAAAGCTCAACGCCGCCACCAAGAACGCCATGTTCTCACACTGGCATGGCGCGCACCAAGCTCTAGACCGTGTGAGCAAGCTGGAGAAGATGTGGAGTGCCAATCTCGCTTCATCTCACGCCTAGTTCGTGTAGTTCGCCACATTGCACCGGAGAGACTCTTTCGCCCTTCTTCCACCGCTAGAGAGCCATATGAGCCTGACCTTGGTGAGTTCTCACTAGACTCAGAGCTTGGTTCAGAAGGCGATGACCCCATAGATGAGGAAGAGAGTTCTTCTCACTGCCACACATAGTCATCTCAAGTGGTACTTAGTGCAATGGACACTTACAAATCTCCATTTTCTATCCCTATCTCATTTTAATGAATTTTCTTTATTTTTCTTTTACTTTGAATATTACCTCTCACCTTAATGTGATTTGCTTTCACCGGGACGGTGCAAGTTAAGTCTGGGGGGAGTTTTATTGTGTTACTAATGCATTTTTCTTTCTTTTCTTATGTTTTATTACTTTGTTTCATGTTTTTCAAAAAGTTTTATTGAGTCAAAAACCAGTCCGGAAGTTATGAACTTGCTTTGAGAATTGAGAGTGTTATGCTAACAATCCATGACCCTAGAGCAGAAATCAGCTAAAGGCACAAGCCTAACAGAAGCTCTTACAGTGGATCGACATGCTAGCTCAGCAAAATTTCTAAGGTAACCAAGCAATCTAGAGTTAACCTCACCCTTAATCAATCTTAATAACTCTTGTCAAGGGGATTGGCATACATGTCGACAGTTCCTTGCTTGATTTTCAATAAGATTTGTCTAATCTTTAAAGAGTTCTCCTCTCTCTCCCATCCCAAATGGTAAGTAATGTTTATGAGAAAAAGCTCAAAGAGCACAAGGAAAACAAGTAAGCATGAGGAATGCATATGTCTGTACCTTCATGTCTTATGGAATACCTTAGTCAAACAAGGAACAAGCTAAAGACTTATCCTGTGGTTGAAAGAAGGGTCAATAGAAAAAATAAAATGATACCCTAGAAAAGTAGGGAGAAATTGACCTTTCAAAGTTCTGATGTGAGAAAGAGAGAGGAAAAGAACTCATTGCACTTCAAAGACAATCTTGGAGAAGATCAAGTGGGTAAGAACAAGTTCAATTGATCGATGTCCCTTGATAAAGAACTCACGCTTTAAATTTATGCAAGAGGTTAGCAATAGAGAGTTTGGATTGCTGGATGAGACTAGTTGGGTTGGTATTGTTCGCTAAACTTGCAGGGTGTATGTGAAGCTAACCTTATGTTGTCTATGTTCTTAGTGGAATACAGGAAAGGAACCTTTCACAGGATATTCAAAAGAGCAAGGGAGTTTCCACGTTTTCAAACCTCTTTCACGGATTTAGATTCTTTTTGCTTGGGGACAAGCAAAGATCTAAGTCTGGGGGAGTTGATATACCTCTATTTTACATGCTTTTTATACTGTTTTAGCATTGTTTTCTAATGGTTTTTGGCAGGTTTTCTATCTAAAAAGGTAGTTTTACTGTGTTTATAGTGTCTAGAGTCTAAACAGGTGAAATGATGCATTTTGGAGCAAAACCATAGGATTTGCACTTCAAGCCGCTCCATGCACAAGCATCAACTTTAAGAGGGCCCAGAAAAAGATCTACTCAATGGATTTCATCAAGACCAGTTCCCTGCGTGCTCTGATTGAGTTAACTTTCCAACGCAACTGGAATGGCCTCATTTGGATGAGTAGAAAAGGAGTTATACCAAAAGAGTGAAGACTGTCCAGACGGCTCTATCGAGAATCAGCGCCCAAACCGCGCAGTCCGGCTGGCCGAGAAACGAATGTTTCGCGCTCGGCCAAAGTCACATCCGTCCGACTGAAGTCTCGGCCAAAGTTCCAAACCGACCGGCCGATCACGCAACACGACCCGGGAAACATGTCCCGCGGTCGGCCAAGCCAAACGCACGCCACGCCGCGCACGACCAGCGCGCGAGCCGGGAACAAGCCTCGCGGCCGCGCAACCCTTCCGCGTACCACGGCCGATGCATCCGTCCGAGCCGGGAAAGAACGTCCCACGTCCGGCCGAGAAATCATCGGCCAAATCTCATCCGTCCGACCACGCCGGCCGACCGTGAATCCATCCGGCCACGACCGTTCCGACTCGGCCACAACCCGACTGTCCGGCCGAAATTAGATTATATATTGAAAGAGTAGTATGAGATAAGGAAAGGGGTATTTCAAATGATATCTTACCTATTCGGACACATCTCAGCGTCACAAACTATGTTTTCACACCGGAAGCTTATTTTTAAAATTTATATATCGAAAAAAAAAAAAAATTTGGGATTGCTGAATCATAGACGAATCAAAAAAATGATATATAAAGCAACGGAACCATCATAGTATTTTTGTTTTGAACGCAAAAAAAAAAAAAGAAGGATGGTAATTGGATCGTTTATGGATCCGCGTATAATACAACCTATATTTTTTTTCTTTCTCCAAAAGGAAAGATCAAAAACGTAAATTCCATTGTGGAGCCGTATGCAATGCACAAAAAAAGCCTGTACGGTTATTCAATTTTCTCTTTTTTTTGTTATCTCGTCTCATTCTGCGAAATAGAAGAACCTTTTCTATTGTATCATCAGGGTAATGATCCATCAACCCGCGAGTTCGTTTTATGAGACACAAACGGGAGAATTTATCTTGGAAGCGGAAGAACTACTAAAAATTCGCGAAACCATCACAAGGGTTTATGTACAAAGAACGGGCAAACCGATATGGGTTGTATCCGAAGACATGGAAAGGGATGTTTTTATGTCAGCAACAGAAGCCCAAGCTCATGGAATTGTTGATCTTGTAGCGGTTCAATAAAAAATAGGAGCTATTTCATACAAATCTACACTTGCTAATTTTATATCGTTTTAGATTAAAGGTTTAGTTTCATATTATCTTCAATATATTTTTTTTAATATTGAAGAGAATCTTGACGAAAAGTAATTCAGAATTAGCCGGTTAGAACCAATCTAAACCAGCCCATTATTTATATGATTCTGTATGCCAACCATTAAACAACTTATTAGAAATACAAGACAGCCAATCCGAAATGTTACGAAATCCCCAGCGCTTCGGGGATGCCCTCAGCGACGAGGAACATGTACTCGGGTGTATGTGCGACGCGTTTAGATCATAGACTGAAACACAAAAAGGAAATTCTTTTTGAAATATCTAAGGATCAGTACCTGTGAATAAAATACAATGGAGGAACTCGATTCATTATTTCAAAAAGATAGATCGTTCATATCTTCTATTGTGTCTGAAACTTATGGTTTCCATTGGTGCAAATCCAATCAACTCCATTTTTTAGAAAACCCCCAATGATAACAAATGGTTATCCATTAAGCGGGGGAAATTCCATTTTGTATTAAAAAGATTCCACCCTTGAAAGAAAAGAACGGACTAACAGGGTAAACGACGAAATAAATTTTAAAAATGAAATACCGTTACTGTATAAAGTGGATCTCAGTGTGAAAGACCTAATTACTGGAATATTCATGGGGTAGAGCGAAAGAATGTGAATTGTACAAGTTACCAATAGTATTGATTAATTAAAAGAAGGAGCTCCGGTGTATAGAGAGGACCTCACCGTTTTAGAAGTAACCATAGAAACGATGGAACCCCCTATTTATTCAGTTCTATTTACTACTTGTAGTTATTCTTTTTTTATTTATTAAGTATCAAGGCAATTTCTCCTTTCAAAGCAAAGGAAAATACCTAGCAAAAAATAGTGGTGGGGAAGGTTAGAGTAGCAAAAGCCGTTGGAATTTTTTTTTATACATTGGAATAATTCGTTTGGTTATTAATGACTAGTAAAGGTGAAAAGAATAACTAAAAAAAGAATTAGTTATTCATCAAAGTTTGATTTATTCAATGACTAGAATTAAACGCGGATATATAGCTCGGAGGCGTAGAACAAAACTTCGTTTGTTTGCATCAAGCTTTCGAGGGGCTCATTCACGACTTACACGAACTATGACTCAACAGAGAATAAGAGCTTTAGTTTCGGCTCATCGGGATAGGGGTAAAAGAAAAAGGGATTTTCGTCGCTTATGGATCACTCGAATAAATGCCGTAATTCACGAAATGGGGGTATTCTATAGTTACAACCGATTCATACACAACCTGTACAAGAAGCAATTACTTCTTAATCGGAAAATACTTGCACAAATAGCTCTATTAAATAGGAGTTGTCTTTATACGATTTCGAATGAGATCAAAAACTAAGGGGATTGGAAGATCAAAATATTTGAAATAGAGTTCTAAGGAGAACGAGCTCGGGGAAGGTAGAGTAGAAATTAGTATTATAAAAAAGTCGTCAAAACAAAACGAGGGTATATAGTCGCTAAAAAAAGAGTTATTCTTTTTCTTTTCGACGATTCTTTTCTTTTTTTTTTTTTATGACAGCCGCAGACGGAACAATCAAATTTTGATTCTTGATTGGATTTTTAGAACAAAATAGTAATCTCTTTTTTAATTCCTTCAGATTGGAATTGTTATTCAATTGAAGAATAAGTCTATTTTTTTCTGGTTCTAAGGCTAGTAGTTCTAGGGGCCGACTCACTTCTTTCAAATTGTTTCTGATTATTAAGAAAAGGTAACAAAGATAAAATACGAGCTTGTTTTATAGCAATAGTAATTAATCGTTGTTGTTTTAAAGTCACTCTATTCACCCGTCTAGATAATATTTTTCCTTGTTCACTAATAAATCGACTAATTAAACTCATGTTTCTATAATCAATTCGATCCCCCGATTGGATCGGGGGCAAACGCCTACGAAAAGATCGCTTGGATTTAGTAAAAGGTCGCTTAGATTTATTCATAATTTTTTTTATTCCTTATCTCTAAAATCCTATTTTGATCGGATCAAAATGATTTCTATTTTCTATATAGAATTAAGAATGTAGGATTCGATTTTTTTCTATTTATTTGTTTATATTTATATATATGTAATAATATATAGATACTATCATTATTCCTATTCTTAAAATTAAAGTTGACATACAAGCACTCAATTTGATCTATTTCTTGATTTCCTCGTGAATTGTATGTTTATAACAATAGGGACAGAATTTTCTCAATTCCAATCGACTGGGGGTGTTATGCCGATTTTTTTGAGTAATATATCTGGAAATTCCCGCGGATTCTTTCTTAATATCATTTCGAACACAACTGGTACATTCCAAAATAATTGTTACTCGAACATCTTTACCCTTGGCCATGAAACCTCCTTTGGATTTATGATTCACCCGAATCTTCTATTTTCATTTTAGGATCCAGAAAGAACAAAAAAAATAGAAGTTGTTAACTAAAAAAATTTCTGAAATATTGAGTTGCAAGGAATATTAATTACGAATTAAAATAAAAAAAAATAATAAGCAATATAATTATTTTTTGAAAACTATATTTAAAATCTTTGTACAGTATTTTTTTAAGTATCTCGTAGGATACTCTTTCCCTAGCAACACTTTTTTTATTCTATTACTAATAGAATTGGATCCTGAACCCCCGTTTTTATGACCTTTTGCCCCCCCCCCCTTTTTTCAAATTCATTTGCATTCTAAAAAAATGAATTTGAAAAAAGGGGGGGTTAGTCCCTGATCGTTGATCGTATCTCTAAATTTTTTCACCCCTTTCTCATGTTAATAACTAGAATGAAAAAAAGGGAAATGTTAATGCATCCGGAAATAAACGATTAATCTCTATTAATAAACCTGCTAACGAACCGAACCATAGAGTACTTAGTACCGGTGCTACGGAAAGATATGTTTTTAGATCTCGCATTTGAAATCCTCCTTCTTTCGTCTTTTCTTTATTGTATTACATTATATATAGTAATATATATAACTACAGATGTACATGTAGTTAAGAAGTTCTTGTATTTGTATAAGCAACTCCCCATTTTCAAAATTCGAATTGAAATATTGTCTACTAGAATAGAACGATCTTAGAGTTTGCGTAAAAAAAGTAATTTTTTGAATTATATATACCTTTGTTATCTGATATGAGAAAAAAAAAAAAGAAAGATGTGGAAAACAAGACAGGAATTCTCTACAATGACACTGTAAACCAATTGAAAGGGATGTAGCGCAGCTTGGTAGCGCGTTTGTTTTGGGTACAAAATGTCACGGGTTCAAATCCTGTCATCCCTACCTATTACTGCTCAGAAGAGCAGTAACAAGGGATCCATTTTAGATCTATCTTTTTTTGAATAAAATTGGACATGATATACATATAATTAATTCTGAAATTTTGGATTCGGATTAAAGAATGTCCTCCTTCTAACTTTTTCGTTTTTTAGAAAAACCAAGAAAAGCGCTCTTAGTTCAGTTCGGTAGAACGTGGGTCTCCAAAACCCAATGTCGTAGGTTCAAATCCTACAGAGCGTGATTTCACTCTTGTTTATTAGATTGTATCAAAATTTCACTGTTCGCAAATAATTGAGCAGCAATCTGAATTAGACCTCCCGCATCTGAAAGCACGAAGGAGGTCAGTCAAAAAAAAGAGCTGTTAATTAATCAAAAGTCCAACTGATCACCACGTCTGTATTGTAAATAAGCAGTTACGAATAATCCAGCCAAAGTAATAGGAATTAGACCTAAGACGATTCCAAATAAAGAAACTTCAACCATTTCAATTTTCTTTTGTTTTCGTTTTTGAAAGGGAGAAAAGAGAGGTACTAGCTATTCCTAGCTCTTAATCTGTATTGCCCTTAATCTGTATTGCCAATGAATCTCAACCAAAATTGGGTAATTAACACGGTAAGGAACTGTCGAACATATAAAATACCATAGAAATCCTTTTTTTATAACAAAATCTTCATTTAATTAATTTCAAATAAGTCGGATTTTGCTTAGACCAATAAATAGAACTGAAGTTATAGTTAAAGCTGCTAGTAGAAAACCAAAATAACTAGTTATAGTAGGCATGAAGGGACTAAATAAAATATGGTTTTTTATACATATATTTCTAAAGTACTTCCCTAAGTTTCAATTGAAAAAATTTTCAAAAAAAAAAATACATAAAAAAAAAATAACTCTATTATCTAACTTCAGTCAAAACATATACCTTTTTTTGAGTGAATATGTAAAAATTTGAAAATGAAGTTGTTTAATTCTTTTTTAAAGTGACCTTTGAACCTAGAATACGCCCCCCTTCTACTTTATTAAAATTGAATTTACTTAAATTTGAACTCATTAGATTAACTAGTCGA